TCCCAGTAAAAATAAGCTCCTAGCAAAAATAAGCTCCTAGTAAAAATAAGCTCCTAGTAGAAATAAGTTCCCAGTAAAAATAAGCTCCTAGTAAAAATAAGCTCCCAGTAAAAATAAGCTCCTAGTAAAAATAAGCTCCTAGTAAAAATAAGCTCCTAGTAAAAATAAGCTCCTAGTAAAAATAAGCTCCTAGTAAAAATAAGTTCTTAGTAAAATAAGCTTCTAGTAAAAATAAGCTCCTAGTAAAAATAAGCTCCTAGTAAAAATAAGTTCCCAGTAAAAATAAACTCCTAGTAAAAATAAGCTCCCAGTAAAAATAAGCTCCTAGTAAAAATAAGCTCCTAGTAAAAATAAGCTCCTAGTAAAAATAAGCTCCTAGTAAAAATAAGCACCTAGTAAAAATAAGTTCTTAGTAAAATAAGCTCCTAGTAAAAATAAGCTCCTAGTAAAAATAAGATAGCAGAAATATTGAACATATATAAAACAATTTGCTTGAAACATTAAATATAAAGGATAAATATATAACAAGACATGTTCCTGTTAGACTTCTGTGAGACCTAGTTCCTAGGCCTTCGTGCATCCACATGCTCTGCCGCTGCAAACAAACCATACCACGGGTGGGGTTAGAACCCGCGGTCAGAGAGTCATAAAATTCCAGACCGACGAGTTAGCCACTGGGCCAGCTGGCTATAATAAGATTCATCCAACTAGGTATATTTCTACAAAAAAAAACTTGCATTTGTAGTCACAGTGGTGGCCTATGCTAACCTTCCTATTGTGTAGAAATATACCTAGTTGGATGAATCTTATTGTGGCTGAGCCAGTGGCTAACGCGACAGTCTGGAGTTTTATGACTCTCTGATCGCGGGTTCTAACCCCACCCGTGGTATGGTCTGAGGTGGATATTAATAAGAAAGAGCAATTAGCGGCTACGGCGTCAAGATTTATAGAAAAAAATCCAGCAGACAATTCTCGCAAATTTAGATACTGCTGTGAGTTTTGCGACTGTTTCATATACAATCTGCAATCATGCCTGCGACTAGTGTCGCTACTTTCTTGCATGGTGCATGTACGTGTTTGTGAGTGCGTTTGCGTGCTTGTGTCAGCATACCAGCGAGAGCTAGAGCCTTTAATGAAATATAACTAACTTTTCAATTATATGATCCCTGTCAACTACTCTTTATACACACACACACACACAAACACACACACACACACACACACAAAACACACACACACACACACACACACACAACACACACACACACACACACACACACACACACACACACACACACACACACACATATATATATATATATATATATATATAATAAATATATATATATATATATATATCCATCGAGAATTGTAATAAGCAACTTTCGATGGATAAATAAAAGGGTAGACGGGGAAGGGGAGGGGGCGCGAATCGCGGTCAGTAAATTGACGGTCAAGATGGTAGAGCGTCGGGCTGTCAATTTACGGGCCACGGTTCGCGGCCGTCGTATATCCTTCTGTTTATCCATTGTCGGTTATTTATTACAACTTAATTTGAGTTCACACATACACACACACATTATATATATATATATAATATATATATAATATATAAAATATATATAAATTATATATTTTTAATGTCGTGCCGAATATGTAAAACTGGTCAATTAGCAAGAACTCATTTAAAATTAAGATCCTTTCTAAAATTTACTCTTATACGTTTAAAGATATATTTTTTTCATTAGTGTTAATGTAAAAATTTTTAATTTTGCACTAAAAGAATCTTAAAAAACTTACCTAACCTTATTATAACAAGCGCAATTTATTTTAGCCTAACCCAACTAAATATATTTTGGATTTGTTTACAATAAATTAATACTAAACAAACACAGTGAAATATATTTTTTTCGTTAGGTTCAGAATGATTTTGTCCTATATGGCAAGATGAACGTTGCTATTTAAGCCAAGATCGCATGTTCTGCCTATTCGGCACGACTATATATATATATATATATATATATATATATATATATATATATATATATATATATATAATATATATATATATATATATATATATATATATATATATATTAGTTTCTGTGTGTGTGTGTGTGTGTGTGTGTAATAGTTTTACATGATGGTAGGCTTGCCGGTGTTTGTTTTTCTGTCTTATAAACATGAAAGATTTCACGTACGTCTTGCTACTTCTGTTATGTACACACCCCTCTGGGTTTTCTATTTTCTTACTAGTTCTTGTTCTTGTTTATTTCCTCTTATCTCCACGGGGAAGTGGAACAGAATTCTTCCTCCGTAAGCCATGCGTGTTGTAAGAGGCGACTGAAATGCCGGGAGCAAGGGGCTAGTAACCCCTTTCTTGTATATATTACTAAAGTTAAAAAGAGAAACTTTGGTTTTTCTTTTTGGGCCTCCCTGCCTTCACTGGAGTGAAGACGTCCAGTGAAGACGTCCTTTGGGATAGTATTTGCATGGATATGCTCCTCTTTTCTGCAACTTTGCAAGTTTCTGATGACGTCTTGATTGCAACACGAAAGGCCTAGGGCTATCATTCTACTTCCCCCAAGGTTGTTTTGCATCCAGCATCGCTTGGTTTGCGATGATTGCATTGTATATATATATATATATATATATATATATATATATATATATATATATATATATATATATATAATATATATATATATATATATATATATATATATATATATATAATTATATTTATATTAGAATATATTTATCTTAAAATATATATATATAAAGATTTATTATTGTGAATTATTCTCTTCTGGAATAATTATCAGAGTCTTAATATTTATCCGGAAATAAATCAGATCCAATTTACAAAAAAAAATACATTCTCAAAACAATAAAAATAATAAAAAAAGCATAAAAGTCAAGATGATATATCTTTTTCAGTCTCAAATGTGCTCAGAAGAAATTATAAGGCCACAATTTCTCACCTAGTTGTAGCGTACACGCCTGACACCCCGCTTCCCGCCGCCCTCCGCTCCGAGCTTTTCCAGGAAAAGGCCAGAATTTCCAGGGAAAGGCAAGAAGCATTTCCAGGAGGAAATAGCAGAATAGGTATGCCATCAATATGGCTCGTTTCCCCTATGCACAAATCTGATTTAGGGAGTAGTAGTTAGGTCCCTTTGTCATTTTCTGCAGCACAAGGCCGTGTCTGCGTCACTGAGACCAAGAATTTGCCTTCAGAGCGCTAGTAGATTCTAAGCTTAGTTCTGAATCCCAACGTTTAATTTGCTCCTGAGACCCGAGTGAACTCAAGATGTTTGTGTAATGTTATATTTAGGGCAACAGCAGGTGTCGGCTACAAGGTTAGAATTAGAAAAACAAAACCATTTAATTTACACACGTCAGCAGTGCAGAAGGTAACGGGATTGTCTGAAAGAAAGCGGGTGAGAATCTGCCAGCATTCGACTCCTGGTCATAATGCAGAATGAGCCTCATTTCTCATCAGGCAATGTTATCCATCAAGGCTGAGGGTCCTACCAAGGGAGGTGTATGCATGCGTGTGCATACTCTAATTTTCTTTTTTTGCAAATGCACCCCAGGAGTATTTTCTTATGCATTTTTAAAAACATAAAAGTGTCTCCAAATGAAGCAGATTTTGGTACATAAAGTTGCAACATAAACCGCTATAAACACTAGCATAAAAACCGCTGGGCATAGACGCATCACAAAGATACGGAGAGCAAATGATCTGAGGGAAGGAATTCAATTAAACTTGTGCATAGCGTGAAGACATTTATTATCATATCTAAACACGAAATTAGCATCATCAATATAACAATAATATTTACAATGTAGGGGAGGGAGGGAGAGGGGAGAGAAAGATTTAAAAGCAAGGACACTGCAATGTTACTGAATCACCACAAACAAGAAACAATGACAGTACCACCATATGTGTACCATTCTAACCCTCCCTGAACTAGGGGACGAACTACCACTAGTAACCAAAAGTTAGTTTGGGCCATCTAGAGCCTAAATTTCATGAAAATCTTTCTTATACAGGTGAATTAGTCTTCCATTCATTGCATAACTAGACAACTAGGCAGCGCTAGATGTGTATTTGAGGACTGAGGTTCTCTATGTCTATTACATAGGTAGTCTAGTTATTTCTAGTCTAGACAGACGATTTTAGTGTAACTAGTAACAAAGAGCTAGACAGCATAAAATTTCAGCTGAGAGGTTACAGTATAAATTAGTGAAATAGATAAAACAAGGGGAAAAGAAAGATTACTTTGTATACATTATAAATAATAAATACGGAGGGTATTCTGATATATATATATATATATATATATATATATATATATATATATATATATATATATTATATATAATATATATATATATATATAAATATATTATATATATAATATATTATATATAATCATGTATATATATATATATATATATATATATATATAATATATATATATATATATATATATATATATATATATATACACATTTGTTTGTGGAGGTAAATAGAACACCGAGACACTAGACACAAGGATGTAAACAATAAAGAGTTACTTTCCCTTTTCTTAGCAGTTTGTGTACAGGTGCGGAAGTGTTCAGTTGGCGATAAACAGAAGGTTATTACAGGTAACTGAATGGCAGGTACGGACACGAACATATAAAGATTCGAGGATTAAACAAAGGGACTATTCTCTCAGTATGTATAATGTTATCACTCGGGGTATCCATCACTTGAAAAAAAAAAAAAAAACATTCGGGATCACGAGTCACTCGGGAGATAACACACTCGGAAACATCCTTTTCGCGATTACCTTCACTCACTGGAATCCTTCACAGCGATATATATACATATACATATATATAATATATATATATATATATATATATATATATATATATATATATATTATATATATAATATATATATATATATATATATATATATATATTATATTTATCGCAGCATCGGACTCTTATTCATCGACGAAATTGTTTTCCTCTCCCGTCTATCACTAGTGAAGATATCTCGTCTCCCTTTCTACCCTCTGCTAGAAGCCATTCCATCGTGTTTCTTTGACCTGGAAAGAGCCACTTGGAACGGCTCGACCTATAAACAGCTTAGCATCAACACATTTTCCTTGACCTGGTTTCGGGTTGGCACGTTTGAATACAAGGCAATAAAGTTTATTTTCCTGACGGGGAGAGTTCGCGACTTGGTGAAAGAGAGGTAGGTAAAGCTCCAACAAAAGCATTCGTCTCTTAAGAGGAATTTTACCTTAATGGGGATAAGGAGGACACGAAGACTATTGAGGACCCTTTAACTCTGGGCTCTAGCACTGAGGAGAGGACCTCTAGACTAGAACATTACGCATGGAGTGGGCACAGTGTGGGCCCCCGGAGGCTGCGGTGGAGGCTGTGGGTCGAGTCAGGGGTACACTGTCACCGTCAAATGGAACGTACAGAAGGAGACGTACGAAGGAACAGCTCTTCTGACGGCACCTGCGAGGCTCCTTCCCGCTCTACTCGGACCCCAAGTTCCTGCCGAGAAAGGAGTTTGCCGCTATTGGTCGTTTCCGCAGCGTCTTCCTCGGGAGAAACTCCTCCCGAGGGGATTCGTGTGTGTGCTGATGGTGCTTCTTGATCATCGTCGTCGTCTTCAACGTGGATAGGCTCGTCATCGTCATCGTGACTGAAGTCGTGGAACTGTGAATGATGTAGCAGCGCAGCTGTGGACGTCGGAGGCATCAGTGGGTGTCTGAGCAACGGTGTGGGGGACTTTGAGGCCAAGAGTCGTGAGACTGAATAATCTGAAGCTGTGGAGGCCAGAGCTGCTGTTATAGTTGCCGTGGAGGTGCGTGGAGCCACGGCTTGAGGTCGGAGAGGTAGCGACGAGGTGAAGGGATTTAGAACTGAGAGTGAGGCCAGGGTGAGGTGCGACATATGCACCGCAGCGGGTCTCACCAAGGGCGCCGCCCCTCCACACGGCGTCAGTGATGCCGCCATGGCCGCTGCAGCGTACAGGTGGTGCAGTGAGGGTGTGAGGGGCGGTGGGTGGTGCAGCATGTGTGGCAGTGGGTAGGGCGAGTACTGGGTGGTGGTCGGTAGCGTGGGTGGCGGGTGGGTGGGCGATAGCGGCAGATCAGTGGGCGGGAAGGGCAGTGGGCGGTGTGTGAGGGCGGTATGGGGCATTGGAGGCGGCAGAAACCCCAGGGGCAACGACACGGGCGGCATGGGCGGCAGTTGCTGGGGCAGCTTGGCATCGGAGGCGGCCAGAGACTCCACAGTAAAGGGTTGTTTACCCTGGTGGTGAAGGGAGGGCAGACTGACGCTGGCAGAGGCCCCCAACAGCGTCTCTCCAGAGCACCGTGACGCCTCCAGGCATCGCAGAGGGTTGTTGATTTGCGCCAAACCCGCCTCCAGCGCATCCTTCTCAGGCTTAGGTATCTTAAACCTCTTCCTGCGGCGCAAGAAGCTACCGTTCTCAAACATGTTCATGGCGGACGGGTGTAGGGTCCAGTAGGCGCCCTTGCCGGGTCTATCAGGGCGACGAGGGATCTTGATAAAGCAGTCGTTGAAGGAGAGGTTGTGACGCAGAGAGTTCTGCCAGCGTTGAGTGTTCTTGCGGTAGTAGGGGAAGTTGTCCATAATAAACTTGTAGATCTCCGCCAGTGTACACATCTTCTCCGGGCTGTTCCAGATGGCCATGGCGGTAAGGGAGATGTACGAGTACGGCGGCTTCTGATCGCCGTAACTCTCGCGGCAGGGGCGCGGCATGGTGGTGGCTGCGTCTATCACTCGAGCATCCGATCACAGTCTAAGACACTTGTAAACACCACAACAGTTCACTGAGCGCACACAAGAAGAGCGCCAGGGACTAACATTCACACCTGCGTATACTATCACCCGGTGACCATCACTGATAATCCCGACTAACACTTGTTACATATAAGGCACCTACGTCACACCCGAAGCTCCACCCATAGCCGCTGATTCGCTACTTTGCGGCTAGGAGGCGGGGCTACAACAGATAGTGGGCGGAGTTACAGCAGCCGGTGGGCGGAGCTCCTCTCGCTGCCAACATTCCCCATGTCGTACGAATCATAACAACTTTGGACGTTAAAGTCACTCTGATGTACATAGTTGAGCTACACTGAATAATGTTACGATATTCAAGGAGCCCAGATTTATGTGGCCCCCCTCCCCTGTAGATATAAAATGAGTTATGGAATCCTTTTCACATAAAATTATTATCGTAAAATTCGGACACCCGTACATTAAATCAAGACTTGATTGATTATTAAAATACGACTCCATAATCTGCATAATAATCACCAGCTGCGGATTGTATCGTTTTGTCTACAATTGTTTACGCTCGAAGCACCAGTAACAGTCCCAGGAGAGAGTAGCAGAGATAAACAAACCCTCGGAAGATGAAAATACAGAAGTACGCGGATAGGAAAACCCGTAAAAATACTAGCAGTGTTGCCACATAATGATTCCATCTGCAAGCCGCAAAGCGAACATTGCAATCACTATCTCATGAATATTTTCACCTTCCTGCTGCATATTCATTGAATTATTTATTTTATGTACAGGCTTTTGTCGAGTTTTATCAAATATTTTGCTCTACACCTCTGATTATAACACTTCTCAAATTCTCTTATATATTTTGGGGGAAAATTGTACACAATACAAGAATTGTCCCGCTGCCGGGAAGGTTGCAATGAAAATGTTGACCATTTGTTTGCAAGAACATCTGGTAAGAAGAGACGGCACGACAAACTCGGCTTGGCACATAAATCCTACATTTTTCTGAAATACTGAAATACATTTCGAAGAAAAGACCTTGTCTCTCTCTCTCTCTCTCTCTTTCTCTTCTCTCTCTCTCTCTCTCTCTCTCTCTCTCTCTCTCTCTCTCTCTCTCTCTCTCTCTCTCTCTCTCTCTCTCTCTCTCTCTCTCTCTCTCTCTCTCTCTCTCCCGACGTGTGGATGCACTGCATGTTCACTGGAGGGATACACATCTCGGTGTATATACACATTTTTTTCCCAATAATCCTATGTTTGGAATTTTATTATTTCTGACTATAAACACACAAGACTCATTAATGGTGCTTAAAGCCTATAAACACATGAGGGTTATTAATGGTGCTTAAAGCCTATAAACACATGAGGGTCATTAACTGGGCTTAATGCCTGTAAACAAACGAGGGTCATTAATGGGGTTTAAAGCCTATAAACACACGAGGGTCATTAATCAACAAGCACTAAGACAAATCCTCGGCAGGTGTCATCCGTTTTAGCGACCCGGAGGAGAATTTTGCAATGATTTTCAGTGTGCATCGTCGCAAAAGGTGGATACCATCATCCTACGGACAATTGACGGGTAGAATTGCATATTTATGTGAAGAACTAAACCATGTGAATCATTTAGAGGTTTAAAAAATTTTATTATTTGCTGTGGCTTTTAAGAAATGCTAAATGTTAGTTATGGTCATTCATACAGACATGATTCCACACACATGTGTATTCGTTGTATTCATGTATGTATAGATTCCACACTTCATTGTTATGTATTATTAATATGGATGATGAATATACGAAGATGTAAACACAGTCTCGTTAACTAGCTCTCTCTCTCTCTCACATACACACACGCACACGCACACACACACACACACACACACACACACACACACACACACACACACACACACACACACACACACACACACACACACACACACACACACACACACACACACAATCGATGAGTGTGTTCAAACTACTGACATATAAAATACAAGAGGAATAGTTAGGTGAATATGGAGTACTGAAGAGGCAGGAAACACACTAGGAAACAATTAGACGCTAGAAGCACCAAGTCACAGCGATGTTAGGAAACTCTTCTGCAGCCTCAGAGAGGTCAGGAAGCGGAACCTGGTCAGCGGTGTGGTAGACACAGAACCAATGCATAACTTAAAGAATAAGTGCGATTAGGCTCAAGAAACTGAAGAGAGCAAACCCAGCAGCAGCCAGCAGATAGAAGCCAGAACCCGAGACTCAACCCTTGCAACATATAGGCGAGTACATGTTGGTGAGTACAAACACACTCGCACATATATACCCAAAAGTAAATAAGAAATATTCCCTTAATTCTCTCAATAAGGAAAACAAAAGGCTACGGTTTCGAACTGCTTAAAAAAGCAGTGCAGAGAGAACATTTCTCCACAGAGACGGTCACGGGGGTGACAAAAAATTAATACTTTGAGAAAAATATGTAATGTTTTAAAATTATAGACCCATATCCAATGATAGTTGAAATTTAAATCGGGTCCATCATTTTAAAACACCCTGTATGTATGACAAGCTATGAAGACCCGTGTGTGTGAGACGCAAAGTAGGAATTGTGCTAATAATTATTTTGTAAGCTAGTGAGAGCACATTTCTTTAGAGAAGCCCAGAAAAAAACTTTTCCTGAAAAATGTGCTTGATGTGAAGGCTAAAGGATACATAAGAACATGTATCAGTTGCACAGGATGACACATGAAAGTAATTCCTGATGTGAAGGCTGAAGGATACATAAGAGTATGTATCAGTTGCCCAGGATGACACATGAAAGTCATTCCTAGTGAAAGAAGACATTAAGACTTCTAATCATACCTAGTAATACAGTGGAATAGTTACCATTACAATACTTAAGATGTGTTAGCAAATCTCTGCATGGAACAGGATTGATAAATATAACAGAGGAGGTAAATATAACAGAGGAGGTAAATATAACAGAGGAGGTAAATATAACGCAGGGGGTAAATATAACAAGCAAGGTAAATGTAACAGAGGGGGTAAATATAACAGAGGGGTAAATATAACAGGCGAGGTAAATATAACAGAGGAGGTAAATACAACAGAGGAGGTAAATATAACGGAGGAGGTAAATATAACAGAGGGGGTAAATATAACAGGCGAGGTAAATATAACAGGGGAGGTAAATATAACAGGGGAGGTAAATATAACAGGGGAGGTAAATTTAACAGGGGAGGTAAATATAACAGGCGATGTAAATATAACAGGGGAGGTAAATATAACAAGGGAGGTAAATTTAACAGTGGAGGTAAATATAACAGAAGGGGTAAATATAACAGGGGAGGTAAATTTAACAGGGGAGGCAAATATAACAGGGGAGGTAAATATAACAGAGGAGGTAAATATAACAGAGAAAGTAAATATAACAGGGGAGGTAAATATAACGGGAGGTAAATATAACAGAGGAGGTAAATATAACGGGAGGAAAATATAACAAAGGAGTAAATATAACAGAGGAGGTAAATATAACAGAGGAGGTAAATATAACAGAGGAGGTAAATATAACAGGGGAGGTAAATATAACAGGGAAAGTAAATATAACAGGTGAGGTAAATATAACAGAGGGGGTAAATATAACAGAAGAGGTAAATGTAACAGGGGAGGTAAATATAACAGAGGAGGCAAATATAACAGATGCGGTAAATATAACGGAGGAGGTAAATATAACAGGGGAGGTAAATATAACAGAGGAGGCAAATATAACAGATGCGGTAAATATAACGGAGGAGGTAAATATAACAGGGGAGGTAAATATAACAGAGGAGGTAAATATAACAGAAGAGGTAAATATAACAGGGGAGGTAAATATATAAGGGATCTCTGAAGGGAATTTTGTTATATTTTCTGGAAACATTCTCTAACGTACGTAAGAATAATGTGGCAACGAGCTGACTCGTATACTTATGTTCAGTTTTACATAAAATTTGAACATACTGGTCTAAGCAACCAGTTAAGTACCAGGATTTCATGTTACTAGATTAGTTGATAGATACTAGATGCTGTTTTTGGTTATAATTTTTCCATGTCTGCAACGTGCTGTCTGTAAACCTCTGAGGTTCCCTCTTTCCCCCTTCCCTTACTCCAAAATGGTAGGGGGAGGGAGGCTGGCTGATGCGACGGTCTGGGTGACAAGCGGACGGCCTCACCCTACTGTGGTATAGGATGACGCTGAGAGAATTTCCTCTCAACCTGTCTGTTGCTGGTCTTACAACATTGCAGAGCTCCTGACGATGCAGGAAAGTGCGAAAGATCTTGCACTAAAGATTTCCATCCCCATGTACCTTCATTTACACACACACATACACACACACACACACACACACACACACACACACACACACACACACACACACACACACTGGATGTTCCAGAGATGGGACACAGCAACAAGGGGTCACAATTGGAAATTGAAGATTCAGATGAATCACAGAGATGTTAGGAAGTATTTCTTCAGTCACAGAGTTGTCAGGAAGTAGAATAGTCTGGGAAGTGACGTAGCGGAGGCAGGATCCATACATAGATTTAAGAAGAGGTATGATAAAGCTCAAGGAGCAGGAAGAGTGACCTAGTAGCGACCAGGGAAGGGGCGGGGCCAGGAGCTGTGACTCGGCCCCTGGAACCTCAACTAGGTGAGTACACACGTCCTCCAGGATGCACCAGGAGGCTTCAAACGCCTTTTGTAATAGGTGATAAATTCTGCCATCAGTGTTAGACTCCCTCCCTTATATTCCCTTCCCTACGACCACCCCCTCCTGCACCCCCTCCATCTCCCTATATTCGCCCCTAGATGCCTACAGTATTGAAACAGCATTGGTCATGCCTGGTCGACTGTGTGTGTGTGTGTGTGTGTGTGTGTGTGTGTGTGTGTGTGTGGTGTGTGTGTGTGTGTGTGTGATTGTGTTTTGTTTTGGTGGTGATATAGTTGGTGTTTGTGGTAGTGGTTGTACTGGTGACTGTTATGGCGGTGGTGGGTGGTGGTGGTGGTATTAGTAGTAGGTGGTGATGGTAGTGGGCGGTAGTGGTGGTAGTAGTGGGTAGTGGTGGTGGTAGTGGGTGGTGGCAGTGATTGTGGTGTTGGAGGTCGTATCGGCTACTACTACTATTATTAACCTGGCTACGGCCGCTGTTTTTTGTGTCGATACTACCGTTATTTCTTGTGTTACTGCTTTTGTTTACTACTACTACTATTACTACTACTACTATACTACTACTACTACTAACTACATAATAATAATAATAATAATAATAATAATAATAATAATAATTGTTTTTGACTTTCGTTGTGATTATGACTGAGCCCATGATACCGTTTTACTTCTGTTCATTTTAATAGTAAACTCGATATTTGGTTTGTTGATAGCACTCACCGTTTTGGTTACTGCTTCTGTTTCCTCCTCGCTGCTAGTCTT